AGCTTTGCACGTCATAGAAGTGGTTTGCAAAGCAAAACATGGGAGCTCAGAATTGGCATAAACGAATTTCCACATTAACGTATTCATTTTTTTAGCTCAGTGTCCAAGCGCAGGAGTTAGCACATCAACTCCTGCAGCTGCAAAGCGCGAACAAAGAAACGGTTGCAAGAAAAGCCGAACTGGAGGAGCTACGAAAGCGAAGAGATGCTGCCAAAGTAGTTGTCGCTGAAACAGCCGCGCAGCTGGAGACGACACGTTCAAGGACTGGCTAACACAAATGGCAGAAGCTGATAAGGTAAGGTTTTCGAGTTTGCTGTCGGACTTTTTCAATAGCATTGGTGAATTGAATACGATATAGTTCTTTTTTCATTCGTTCAATACTTCTATTCGGAAAGAAGAAGTAAAGCTTTCATGTGCTAAGGAAAGCTGTTCACACTGCTCGATCCTTTTTCTTCTTTTTACATCCTTTGCTTCTACATGTAAATTCAATATGGATTTCTCAATCTACTTTCAGTTCACTTTGCTATGAACCCTAAAGAGCTGCAATCTTCAATCCATAACGTTTACTTTTGACTTCGTTTTTCATGGCGCTAAATTTTCCAAGTCTCAGATACTGTAGCTAAATTGTTCAACTAGGAGCGCTTGCATAGTTGCAGATCATGTTTTGTTTTTTATCACTTGGCCGATTATTTCTTAGCAACAGTGTTTTAAAAATAACATGGGTTCGAATACTCGTTGACTTTTGGTCTCCGGCTTGACTCTTTGAAGTAAAGTTTTGATTCGTGTTGGACGTCAAAGAGTGGCGCCTACTACGAAGATTTATCGATGCACAGTTTACGTAGCTGTGAAATTATAATTCGAGACCCACTGTTTCGATCCCAAAAGTTCACGAATTGTGGTTAGAAATAAAAAATAAGAAATGATTTGCGAGTCTTGTGTCTTTAAGAGTGTCGTTTCATTGTTTTAACCCATTCGTGACAATGGCAGCCACCGGTGGCTGACAAAGATCTCACTCGGGACAATGGTATCCACCGGTGGCTGCCGTGTTTCAAATGGAATTTGGAAAGTTTTCTTTCCTGAAAAGAATCTTCATACCCTCATTCATCTACGCCAGCCCTGGGCAGAGGAAATCTCCATCCACTCAAATTTTATTGAAGAAAAATCTCCTGACTCTCTGCTATTGCGCAATCCGGCGCGGTCGCGACTGGGTTAAACTGCTGTTGCTCACTAATTCAACGTGATGCAACGGGAGAACTCGACTAAGATACATATTCTACATTGCTTATCACTTATTTTATGCCTCAACACTTTATATTGAACCTTATCCATTGTCGAAGCTTTGGGACGCTCCTATGTAATCAAATTGTTTAGAAGACCGAGGAATACGAAACGGCGCGAGCAGAGTTGGTGAAGGCACGTGATGATTATCGAAGAGTGCTGCATACTCTTGCCGACTTGCAAACACAGGTACTGAAAAGCCCGAGGGCATTAGTTTTCAGAATAAGCTCATTCAAAAGAACATATTGACGTATTTCCATTTATCTGGACTAATTTATTCAGGCTCGCTCAAAATTATCAGAGCGAGACGCAGAGAACGCAAGGATTGCCGCCGAAGCAAAAGCCAAGGAGGAAGCTGAACGGGAACTCGAATGTCGACGTCGTGCAGCCGAAGAAGCAGCGAACACTGTTCAAGCGCAAGCGTTTGGAGAAGTCTTCCCAGCTCCTGCTAACAATGTACCGAAAGCAACATCAAATGAGTCAGTCGCGAATAAAGCTGTAGCACCTGTCGTGAAACAAGGTGGGCACACTACAAGTGTAATTTTATAGAAATATAATAATTCATTGCTCATGAAACTATAACATATTATTTATCGTTGCTTTTGTTTCCAGATAGCGTATCATCTACTGGAAATGCCTTACCGTTGGCCAGCGCTGGTGGCACGACAAAGTATCGTGCTCTGTTCGAATTCAACGCTAGAAGCGAGGATGAATTAAGTTTCCAGCCGGGTGATGTTATACTGGTGTTCGAATCGCATGCAGCTGAACCAGGCTGGAAGGCTGGACAGATTCGTGACAAGGTTTGAGATTTCCCATTAGCTCATTCTTCTGTTGATGAAATCAAAAATTACACCCATGTCCTGCAAGTTGCCGGCCAGCAACATTTTTGTCCTTTTTACTTTGCTGTGGAAGCTGGCTGCCTACCGCGGGCTCTTGTCGTTCTCAACAATTTCCAGTGTTTTCTATTCGGGCTTTATCTCCTTTTTGGCCCTTGACCGTTCTAAAAAAATGAGGTGTTAGGTTGAGCGGAAATTGTACGCTTTTTTCAAATAGAGGCATTCTAAATTTTTATCAGCCGTTTTCGGCAGTGTCGTTCGAAATCCCCTAAT